TTTTATTTGATTAATTATGTATATATTTAACTGAATGAGTGGGGTTCAAGTCTGTAATAAATCCTATATCTAGGGACTTAGAGGAAGGTTGAAAGTTTTTCAAAAACGAAGTGTTTTCGACTTGAGGATTAACAGCCAGGTATATCAGAAAGAAATATTTTATATACTATTTTACATTTTTTGTCTGTAAGAATCACCTGTGTTCTAACTTTATGCTAAGCATGAAAAGAATAAAAGCTTAATTTGGTCTCCCTTATGATGTGCTGGACAATAAAAAGGAAAACTTTCAAAATCAGGATAAAAAATGATTTGAACCTTGATAACCGAGTAAATTTAATATAGAAAAATAAGGCAGTTCAGTGAGTGACCCAAACAAAGTGAAAACAAAAAAGTAATGTTACATATATTATGCATAAAATGCATTTTCTGCAAAGTACTTGAGAACTGAATAGAGTATGGACTAAAAATAGTTACTATATCCTATTCTTCATTGTGTTCTGTGATAAAGAACTAGTTGTTGCATATACTGTTGTTATTTTTCTAATTGTCTGAATCTTGAATATTCAAAGTGTGAACTTTTTTGTGTGGATTTTTATTTGTGGTACCATTCTATAGATGGCGCCACATTGTATTTATTATTTTGGACATGTACATAGGTGGATATACATTACATCGATTATAGTAAGATATGCAATAATTTACAAGAACTAGATAGTAGCAGAATGTTAATATAATTTATAAGTTTATTTTGTGGAAATGTGTTTCTAAGTAATTAAAAATAAGGCTCTGAATAATATAATAATTAATACACAACCAGCTGACAAAACACAATCTGGTGTTTGTCTCAAATGTAACATTTTCTAAAAATGATACCTTGAAGTAGCTTTAAAATGACATTTATTAATAAGTGTTTTTTTCTCTTTCTAGGGAAGATCATCATCTTTTATTTCCAGTACATATTCCTATACAAGTTCGAGACGGAGCAGCGAAGATTCCACAGACGCTGTTGATAATTCTAGAGAATTAAGAGTGAGTTAACAAATATAACGTAAAAAATTAAAGTAACATTTAGTATACATTTGAGATATACTTATCAGTTATGTTCATTTAAGCTCGATCTTGTCCATTTAAACTGAGACCTTGAATGTTCCAAACAGTTTTTTGAGTGTTTGTATGCTTAATCCCTTTCATATGTGTTTTCATATTTTGTCACTTCTACATTCTCTTTAATTCAGATATTGTGTCCATAAATCAGAAAGAAAAATACCTAAATATGTTTTAAAATGTAGTAAAAGAAGTAAAACATTATTTATCCATGTTATCGTGCATTTGTCTCTTAGAGATTGAATTTAACAAGTCAGTTGAAGTGTCAGTACTTGAGTGACTAATTGAGTGGACTCTCTACAAGTTTCTGTAAATATACAAGTAGATAACACACACTGAAGCAGATAAAGACACTTTGGTTAAGGTAATAATTTAGTTAAACATTTATAAAGCTGTAAAGATATTAAACGTTTTACTTAAGACATCTGCTTTTTCAGGAAAGGGTTTCTAAAATTTGTAGATGATATCAACAGATAACAAGTAGTAAAAAAATTGAAAAAATGAGGATGATATAGGGATGGCAATATCAAAAAGTATAGAAACAAGGTAGGGATGAATACACAAAACCATACAAAAATCACTACATAAGTAGCCAAATCTTTCCAACAAAAAACTTTTATTTACAACTAAATGTTGAATTCCTTTCATTTGCATGAATTCAGGTTTGAATAAAAGTATTTAAACTGAATAATGCTATAAAGTCTCACAATGGATAATTCCTATAAGCTTGTAACATTGATTCAGTACTTACTGGCTACTTATGTAGGTATTTCTGTAAGGTTTTGTGTATTCATTCCTACCTTGTTTCTATGCTTTTTTGGCATTGCCATCTCAACATCATCCTTATATGTTTCAAGACTTTTTCTTATTATTTGTTTTTCCTCTTTTTTTTTTTTAAACAATCAATATTAATGAATGGCAGTCACTATGAAGGCAGCAGTTTTAGCCTGGCATGATCAGTTGTCTTGATGGACATCATGTGTTGAAGCTAGTAAAACACTATACTGCTTCTGCACTTCCCAAGTTAAAATACAACATTTTGGTGTGTAAATCATTACAACAACTTCAAACATTTAAGCTAGCCCTTCTGATGCCGAATCAGAATAATCAACAGAACATTTGGCTGTTATACTAATTGCTGGTTCTCTACTTTAGCAATGTTTTTGGCTAAAATCAAGGTCTTAATAGCTTTTGAAAGTTAGGTGTTTATAAAAGTCTCTTACATTGTTATAAGAGAGTTTTGAGACTACGATGAGCAATACATAATGTGTGGTAGCCATTTTTTTTCCAGCCCATTTCTACATACTAAGCACTACCATGCTTAATGATATTAACTTCCCAATATTTTGCTCAAAAGTTTCATATGTAAGGCTTATAAAAATCAAATACAATTTAACAGTAAAGTATCTTTCAAAAAATCAATGATCATTGCCTTAGTAGCGAGTTTTTTTTTTTACATTTTCTACATTACACTTAAACAGAAAACTGCTTTTATAATGTGGTAGAATTATTTGTAACTATGTTTGTGGTAGTTTATTACAAGTTATTTAAAATAAAACTAAAAATCAAACATTCTTTTCTTAAGTTGTACTTTATTATGTAAGTTCATATGATGTATACAGTAATGTCTTTGTTTTTGGCCAATATTTTGTGACTAATTAACTGTTTTAGAGTGTTCTGGGGTAAGTACCAGTGAAGTTATTACAAGTTATAAAAGTGGTCATGGAATTCAAACAAACTACAGTTTTTTAAAAAGTTATTTGCAAATGATTGTGCTATAAACACTAGAAAAATTAAACCAAGATTGTTTAATTAAATAATGAATAGTGAGAACTTTCTTTCATGAAAATGACTGAACATTGTTAGTGTGTGTGTGCACATGAACCCGTGGCAGATTTGTTTTCACTTAATAACTTGTAGGTATAAAGCTTATACCTATTTTATTTTTAAAATTGAAACAATTTTTTTGTGTTGTATTTAAGTTTTCAAAAATCTATGTGCACATTTCTTTAAAAAGTATCATCTGTCTATGATATTAGTGAGAATTAACATATACTGTAAAGTACTGTAAAATCATTACTTGTTTGACTTATTTTGATATAAACTTTTAAACATACACTAAAACTTGGTGTTATAATATATTTCTATATGTATGAATAAAAGGAATACTTTTTAGTTTTACTTACATGTAAGTATATCTGTTATTGGATAAATAAAAGAGAATCACACTTTTAAAACATTTTTGAACTCTTGAGAGTTTAAACTGCTTAATGTGAGTGACAGATACATTATTTTTCTTAAAGATAAACATTAGACGTAAATGTGTGTGTGTGTATATATATACTTAGCAGAAAATGTATTTCTTTAAAACTGTATATGACATTAAAACAAATTCTTAAGCTTATGCTTTTGAAAAATAAACCAACCAAAGCGTATAATGAGAATGAGGATTAAAACACCAAGTTAAAGAACATTAATAATAAACACTACTGCATTAATAAATATATTGGATTAATGAGCACAGGGAAATCAGTATTGAATACCCATTATTTTTAAACTATTTTTATTCAGGTATTCACTGAACTCCCACATTATAAAAGTTAGTTTCTTGTATTATTATTTTAAAAAATCATAACTAAAAAGTTTAAAAAAAAAAAACAATTTCACAAAGTAAATAATTTTTAAACTGATGTATCTGAAGGTAAGCTATAGTGAGTTAAGTCATACCATTTTTTATTTTTCTTCACATCAAGAAATTTGTGATAATAAATGTCAGCAAGTAAGTTAAAAGACTGACTCAAAGCTAACAAAATTTAGAATTTGCACAAAATAATTAACTTAAATTGTCTTGCATTAGCTACTACTATAGGAGTGGGCCTTTTCACTTTCACAAAAATTGTAGTTTCTGTTGATCTTGCAAATGTTAAATTGGTGGGTTTTTTTTTACTTCCTTTTCTCAGCATCAGTTACAAGACATAGAAGAAAAATTCAAAAAGGCCATGGTTAGTAATGCCCAGCTGGACAATGAGAAATCCTCTCTCAGCTATAATGTTGAAACCTTAAAAGATGAAATAGAAGAACTGGAAGAAAATTTAGCTCAGATAAGGAAAGATTACAAAGAGAAATCAAGGGTAAAATATGTATTATTATTTTTATTTTTTTTTTTTTTTTGGAAAAAGAAACTCTTGAATCTATGTTTTTATTTTTCACAGTATAGCTGTAAATTAGAGTTCCCAATAGTCCTTGAAGTACTCAAATTTTAAAGTTGGATAATCAAGGCCTTATTTTGGAAGGTTCTTTAATTTTAAGTGTTTGAGAATGAATTAGCTATTATAAACATATAAAACCAAATGTATTTTACCTTTAAAGTAATTACAGTATGTTTTTAGGTTCATAAGATGGGATAAAACTATAAATTTTAGCCTTTTGAACTTCTTTCATGTTAAAATATATATTTTTGTGAACTTTGATTCCTTTGCCGAAGTGAAATAACTAATTTATTAAAAGTTACAAAGCTCTGTTTATATTACTTTATTTTCCAGTGCTCTGCTGTGTCTTTGCAAGAGAAAAATGTCAGAAATTCAATACAACTTTATAAAAAGAAGCTACAGATATAGCTTGTGGTATTCTTCAATTTACAAAAGCTGTGTTATTGAAAGACAAAGAATTGTTCAAAGTGAATGAAAATAGGAGACATTGCTCAAAACATTAAATTCAAAATGAAATGCACAATTTTAAATGTAATTATTTATTTATATAGAGTAATATTCGTCATTGTTTATTATGTAAACACAACACATTTGACTTATTTATTAAATTTATGCTGTCACTTATGATAGCTCTACTAAAGAATTTTAAATGTAAAATAAAATGGAGAAACTACTCAAAACACATCAATTTAAAAAAAAATCAAGATTTTCAGTAAAATAAAAATTCAAAATCAAACTTGTTACTGATTATAAATGGAGCCATCTATTAAGAGAATGCAGTGTGAGTTTTTACTAACCATTGAACTATAATCAAGAGTAAAAACTAAAAAAAAGAGGTTTTAGGTAATTATTATAATGGTTAATTTTGTTGGTAGCTGATATGCTTTTATAGGTAAAACCATGGTTGTTAATAAATGAAGTATTTGTGAAATGTACAGTTGTCTTTGTTTTTTTCCTCAATTCTGTTTAATGAAATAGTTATAGCAATCTTATGTGCATGTTATTTGTGGTATACTTAGCATTGAGAAGAGACTTCTTGTATGCTAGAAGGTTTTGAAGAACTTGTCAGAAAAGAAGTATATCTGTTAAAAGCTTGCTGTGTTTTGTCAATGTCATTTAGTGAAACCTGTTATATAAAGTTATTGAAATTTGTATGAATTTTCAAGGATGAAGAAGTTTAATGTATTAGATAAACAGTTTTATTTAAATGTGCTACATTTTTCCTAACCTCATTTATACACTAGTGCATCAAAATACAAGATTAATTGTATTATACATAACTGTCTGTAATTAATATTTACTTTTTATAACAATACATTGTTTTCTTATGGTAATCTTGATATTTTTTATATATCTTAAATTTATATCCAATAATTTTATTATATGTTGCAAGAGTACCTATTATAAGTAATTTACAAAAGATTACCTCAAAGGCAACATTTTATAAAATTACCAAATAGCTAGGCTTTTCTTGTTTGCCAGGGTTATATTAGGTAAGTGTTTACCAAGAAAGTAATTTTCATTCATAGACTATTCAATGAGGTCAAACTTTTGTTGTGTAGCTTTATTTATTCTAAACAACAGTATTATGATCATTAATTGGAGTAAAAAAAGACATCAATAGGCTACAAAACTATATACATATTTTTGAGAACCAACTAACTTTTAATGCCTCATTAAGCACTTTTCAAATGAAATTTTTCTACTATTACTGTTTTATAAGCACTTGGTCACAACTGATTGGATATTAAGACATGTTTAAGTTAAATATATTTTAGTAGTAATGATACACTTTCCTTAAAACATATTTTTTATCAGGCATACGATCAGCTAACTAGGGATTCTAAAGAAGTAAAAGAAGAAATTGTATTTTTAAAAGAAAGCTTAAGACGAAGAGATGATTTAATAGAGGTAAGCTTCATAAATGAATGTATAAATGGTATCAGTTTAATGTTTCCAAGTAAATGCAAAATTTATATAACCTATAGGTACCTTTTTGTATAACTTATTACAGTTTTTTATTATTGAAATATACTGTAATGGTTGTGTTTGAGTTTTAGATGTTTGTTTGATATCCTGCCAGCATAACTTCTCTGAATCTACAAAGTGATTGTTGTATCTTGAGACAGTTAGCTTGATTCCTTGTACACCTGCTTATGAGATTTGCAAGTCACTAGCCTTTAGCTAACTTCCACCTAAAAATCATTTAACTGTGCTAGTGCAAGATGTCATCATCATGCGATAATAGCCCTCCACCAATAGGAGGACAATACAATCTCCTTGCACATTAACTCCTCTTAGCAACTGTGCTTGAAATAACTTCATTCTTTTCCTCAGCATTGTACAGAACTGACATTTTTTAAAACGTTTTTTTTTATTATGTGAGATTTGCAATAGTTAACAAAATTTAAATTTCATTCTAGTTTAGCTGTTTTCTTTCATTACTAAAGTAAAAGAGAGAGAAAGAGAAAAAAAATCCTCCTTATCTATTGTGAATTCTCAAGCTACAGTAACTTATACTTTGTCTATTAATGGGGACAGTGTTAATAACATGAGACCTGTGGCTACCTGTCTGTGGAGAATATGAAAGCCATTGTTTAACATGTTGTGAGCATGACTAGGATTTTGACTGGCTTTTTCTCCACCACAGTTTGCTTTGGGTACTGCTTCATCTGTGGAAGAAAATCTTGAACCCTCTAATCTTTTTCTAGACATGATCTTGCAGATATGTTCTTTTCTTTCTCTTCAGTATCTTTTGATTCCCCTCTGTTCTTAACCCATTCTCAGGATTACTTTGTTTTCCCTCCTTTGCCTGATATTAGGGTTCATGCAGACTCATTTCTTAAACAATTATGCACCCATACTCATATATATTACCTATTCAACTCTTTGTCTTGGCTTAAAGCCATTCTTCATTTCCTTTTCTCGATTAATCATCCTTGGAATATCTTTTACCTGCTTGGGGCCAGATCCCTTAACTTCTGTTTCACTTTCTAGTGCCCAGTTTTTACACCTTCAACTCTTTCTTGCTATCCTCCTACTTTACCTCTCAACTCTTCACCTTATTTCTGATGCACTTCATCATGCTCTGGAAGGTTTTTTTGGAGAGGTTCTTTCTTTCATTTTTAACACTTGAGCATGAACTACTACTACTGCTGTATCTCTTCTTACTTGATTCCTCTGCTATTGGGACTTGTTGGGTAGGGATCCTTTCCTCACTGATGTTTGCCAGCCTCACTTTTATCTCTTTTGATCTTCATTGAGCTCTTTTTCCTCATCCAGAGTTCTTCAGGGTTGTTTCTGACTCCCTGGAGACCTGGGCTGTGGTGGCTTTGCATCAGTCCTCATTATGTTTTGTGGTTTCTCTTTTTTTCTCAACCTCACTCTTCTGTTCCTGTTTTGAAACCTACTCAATCTACATTTTAAATTCCCAACATCTAGGTTGTTGCTAGTCTTGTCGGTGACTATCCTGTTGGGTCTGGCCTGTCTTTGGTTGACAAATGGATTTTTCAGGTTCTCGCACATGGCCTATCTCTCTACTTCTCGCAGTTTGTTGGGCATATTCCCATTTCCATCATTTTCTCATGGGGGACTGGCATCTGGTTATTAACTTATTGTTTTTCAACTGGTTTCTATTTGTCTCAAAGTTACAGATGAAGTTTCTCTCCAGCGGTTCTTTTCACCCAATCTGTGTGGATGACCAAGGTTGATGTATTGGATACTTTTTTACATATTCTGGTTGCCCTGTCCTCCTGACATTTTCTGTCTTTCATTCATTGGAATTGAGTCTTCTAGTTTCATGCTCTTTCTTTTGGCATTGTGTCTGATCCTTACAGCTTCAGTTGAGTCATGGGAGCATTCACCTGCCATATTTGTGAATTGGGGCTAAGTTCCATCATTACATGAAAGATTGGCTTCTCCTCACCCCTTCTCAAGAGGACACTTTCTCTCACACTTCTATTGCTCTACATGAGGCTGCTCAGTTGGGCTTGGCTAGTCAAGCATTCTATGTCTTTTCTCATGCCTAGCCAGTATTTGATACAATTGGGTGTGTTCTTCAACTCTCATCTCAGTTGGACTCAGCCTTCACCACTTTGCCTGTGGGCAATGGAATATCTTGTTACCAAGATTTGCATTTCTTCTTGCACTCTGTGCATGAGGTTCTTTCACTTTTGGGGACTTTGGCTTCCTTAAAACCAGTTATTCTTTTAGGCTGCACACACACACGTGCCTTCAATAGACATTATGGGATCATTGGAACATGCATCAGGATACATTGTCCTGAATTGTGAGCCTCCATTCTTCTCTTCTTGAGGACTTATCTTTGTGACTCAACCATGCCAATACCACTTTGGGCATCCCCTTGCCCCCCTTCCCGACTGGATCTCTGGAATCGTTGCTTCCATGCATTGTACCTGTTATTTTGGGCTCATTCTTATCAAGAACATCTCATACCTTATCATTTGTTGGGGGGCAATGAAGATGGTGGCAGATTGACTCTCTTGGTCAGACTGGATTTTACCCACAGAGTGATCTCTCCACCCTCAAGTTTTTCATTGGGTATGCTCTCAGTTGTGTAACGAATTTATTATTATGTGTTTATTTTCAGTATGAACGTTTTTTGGATTGAATTTGTATTTAGAAATAGGCGTGACTTGTATTATCAGATATGTGTTGCGTATAAGAATTTGTTATATATTTATTTTAATGTCAACGTTTGTTTTGAATAAGTTTATATTTGAGGGCGTGTCTAGCTTACCGTGTTAGTTATGTATGTCAAAATTCCCGCCAATTCTCCAAGATTGTAGAACATTCACGAATAAGAATCAACAATACCTATTCATTTCCGTATCTGGTATTATTAGAAGGTTTTAGAAAATGGATCTCATCTATAAAAACATCAGGGCATTGCACCAAAAAAGCAGCAGACAACAAAGAATAGAGAAGAGACTGGCCTACTATGAAACTGTTATAACCATGTAAGCTTTAAACTGTGATTTCGTTAACCCCTATCAGCTGGAAAATATATGACATTTGACCAGGAACAGTTATAAATTTCGAATGTCAGTGAATTCCCATCAAATGTTAATATCTCTCCAAGAATATTACTAATTTCTCATCAGACATTAGTGATTTTGTGAAAATATTATCTTACTTCAACGGTCCAACAATTCAGTGCCTGACAAAGGTAGCTAGCTTCCCGCCAAATTTTATATGTGCGTACAACTTGCTAGATATCAAGGAGACTTTGAACTAGGAAAACGGTTTTAGGCTATTTGTAAGTTAATGAAATTTCTGTTTATGAAACTTTGTGTGTAATAATTAATCATAATGATTGCTATTGTAAATTATAGTGTTGTATATATATTAAAACATATTTGTTTCAAGACAAAAACGGTGTGTATCAATCTTGTTGGCAAATAGCATAAATTAAATAAAATATTGGCATATTTCTAGACACTAATTCCAAGGTACATCTCAACTATTAAAAGTTAAATTATTTAACGTGGCTTGCGTTGGCATGCCCCTCATTGATGCCTTCACCACTTCTCTCAAAACCAAACTTCCACTCTTCTGGTCCCCAGTTCCTCATCCTTCAGCTCTGGCATTCATTGCTCTCAGCCAGGACTGGTTTTACTTTTTCTGTATGCCTGACCTCTTCTTCATCTCCTCTCTCATGTCGTTATCTTGATACATGACACTCCTTGTTGGGTTCTGTTGGTGGCACCTCTTTAGCCAGCACAACTATGGTTTCTCCTGCTTCATCAAGTAGCATCCAGGCCCTCTCTTTCTCTGCCCCATTCATTCTCACTCTTGCTCCAACCTCATGCTTCTCTTTTTTACTCAGGGGTGTTGTCCCTTCATTTTCACATGTGGGATTTGTCTAATTCATTGTCTGCAGGGCTGAACTCTTCGATTGTGTAGCCTTCTTCTTATCTCATTCCTGTCATCCTTCAACTTTGTACATCTATCAATGGAAGTGGGGAGCATTTTGACATTGGTCCATTCTCCACCCTCTTTCTCTGGGCCATTCTAATGTGTTCTACCTTTTGGCCTCTTTCACATGGTTGTTCAACCATGGATTGTTGGTCTCTCCCATGGCTGGTTATTGGGCAGCTTTGTAAACTACATTTCCCCTTTCCTGTTACTGTCAGGTGTTTTCTTCTTCTTCTGTCCTCTCCATTTTGTTCTGATCCTTTCTTCACTGACCCCCTTGTCTGACTCCGATGCCTGACTGGAACCTTAATGTGGTATTACACACCATCACACATGCCTCATTCAAGCTGTTCTTTATACCATTTTCCTCTGAAGACATACTTTCTTTTCCTCCTTGCCTATGGTTGCAATCAATCATCGCTGTGTCCTACAACACTCTTTCACTGCACTTATTTATTCCTGTGGCCCGGCATGGCCAGGTGGTTAGGGTGCTCGACTCACAATCTGAGGGTCGCGAGTTTGAATCCCCGTCCCACCAAACATGTTCGCCCTTTCAGCTGTGGGGATGTTATAATGTGACGGTCAATCCAACTATTCGTTGGTGAAAGACTAGCCCAAGAGTTGGTAGTGGGTGGTGATGACTAGCTACCTTCCCTCTAGTCTTACACTGCTAAATTAGGGACGGCTAGTGCAGATAGCTCTTGGTAGCTTTGTGCGAAATTCAAAAACAAACAAACAAACAATTTATTCCTCTACCTGGCTGCACTTTTCTTCCCAAACTTTTGGCTGCTTGGAAAGGTGATTGTACTTTTTTCCTATTCCCGTTCTTTCTATTTCTCACATCTATGCTCATTAAGACCCAAGTCGTCTCTTGTGTCTGGTTTGGGTTGTGCAGTGTTATTTGGCACGAGCGTCTCCTATTTGGGGGTTCTTGTCATTGTGTTTCTGCCTTGGGGACCCTTCATCCAAGGACCTATGATATCCTAACCTTACTGGATGGTCATCCATGAGCTCCTCCAGTTGATGTTTTCTTCCCTGGATATTGATGCATGCAGAGTTTTTCACATTTTGTGCATCAAATTCGTCACCTTGTTCTGTCTCTTTCATTTTGTTTACACTGACCATTGAACAAGATCCTTCAGACTGGCACATGTATGAATTGGCTCATGTTCGTCTCCCATTATTTTCATCATTTGGCTGTTTTGTTTCATGCAGGATTTTGATTCCCTTCTGTCACTATTCTTCAACCTACACATTGTCTTTGAAAAGGGTAAGTATATATTTTTTTCCATCACCCACTTCTCTCTCATAGGATCCTGCCAAGTGGCTGGCATTGCCTCCTACGGTATAGGGTATGCTTATTTCCCAAAATCAGCATTGGGTCATTAGTAACAGAATGTGCCGTATCAGTGCCCATTGTCAAGATGGGATGTTTTGCAAGACCACTTGAGATATCCTTGTGGTATTAAACTTACTCAAATGCCCAATCCGGATAGTACTATTCCATAGACTATCATGGAAAATTCCTACATCAAGGAAGTGACTGCCCACTTCTTTAGTTCACACACTTGCCAGCTTTACAAAATAGGGTTTCACAGTAACCAATTGCACTGTCTCCAGTAAAATACCTTTCAAGCAGTTGGTCGAAGTGGATGTGGGTACTTCTCTAGGTCTCTCCAATGTGAATTCTCTCTCCCTTCTTCATGTGGAGCATGAGGGATCCTTGCCACTTACCAGTTCTTAGCTGCTGGGGTGTTGGACCCTGGAGAGTTCCTCACTGATTATGTATAGCACAATATGGTGGTGGCATTGTCTGTGTAGTACGGGTCATTCCTCAAACATTTAGTGTGCCATCCTCCTGCAGCAAGACAGGTTTGATGCTCTGGTCTTGATCCGTCCAGTTGAGTCGAGATGAGACACATACAGAGTATGGTTTGATCAAACCCTAAACACACCTCACTTCTGGCTCACCAACCACTTGTGTGTGTGTGCTTGGTTGATCATGCAAAAATTCTGTCCATACCTCCTATACTTTGGGTTCTTTTGCTTTTCTCTCTCTTCTTACTGGGTGCAGTCACGCTCTATTGTCTTCCCATTTGGGATTTTTCTGAAGGGAGGTTATCTACATTTAATGTGTGCACTGGACCCTCCACTATTTCATTGTTGGATTCTAGGTATTCAGTGTGTAGAGGTGAGGTATCTTTTCAGAAGTTAATATTTTCCTTATCTGAAAATCTATTTCCAATAGATACTCACTCCACACACCTTTTCACCCATCCCTTCCACTTCTGGTGCACTTTTATCATGTCTAATCTAAGAAAGAAGCTGTTTTAAGCTCAAGTGCATCCAAGAGCTACTGCACAAGGAGGTTGTGTCATCCTCTTATTGGTGGAGGGCTATTTTCACATGATGATGTTATCCTGCAATAGTGCCATTCATGTTAAACATGTTATTTTTAGGTGGAAGTAAGATCAAGGCTAATGGCTTGCAAATTACGTAGGCAGATGCCCAAGGGATCAAGCTATTCTTTGTGAAAAGGTGAATATCAATCAAAAAATATATTTTCAGTTAAGGGAAAGGTTACATTTTGGCTGTATCCGGATTAAGTTATATTTGATAGATATATGTGTACAAACAACTCTAAAATACTTTTTTCTAGGATCGTTCTCTCTAATCATCAGAACTTTTCATTCATGAACATTCTTTCTACTTATAAAACCTTTCTAGGAACATTTAACTATAAGCAACAAATTTTTGGAAAAGCATAGCAAATATACTTACAAGCTGTTTGAGGAAAATGATGCCAACTCATCAAACCTTTCCAGAAACATGATAATTAAATCAATGAAGGACTTTCAGAAACTTGGTACCTAATCATCAAATCTTTTTCAGAAACATGCTTTTTACTGTCCACAGATCTTTTTAGAAACAAACCTCCTTATCATATTTTTCCATGATCATGCTATCTTAAAATCAAATGTTTTACAGCAACATGGGCTGATTTTGGTGGGAGGAGAAGAAACTGTAATGAATGGAGATGATAATTGTAGCAGTTCCAGAAGCACTCCAGACAGTTCAGCTCAGAAAACTGAGAACAAATCTATTTTGGTTTCTCAAGAAGTTGCTCATCTTTTAGGAAATACTGGAGAAGGTTCATTAGGTAAATTATTAATGATACATATCATACTTACTTTTAGGAAACCAATCTGATATTTAGGGACAACTCATCTGGAAGTAACCATAGATTAAATATTATCATATTAACTGAGGTACTTAATACAAAATATTCAAAGAAATGATAATGCCCTCTATAAATGAAAATATTCCCACACACACATATATTGGCTTTTTCGGAACTTGTAATTGTTTTAAATAGCACAAAAAACAACAGTGTCTCAACATTTCTCAAGTATATTTATTCATATTATATAAACTATATTATGCTTGATCAAAAATTAGTTTAATGTTTTCAGTGTATAAAAGATTATTTTCATACAGTAGCACTAATACATTATATCATAAGAACATATCAACTTTTAAGTTTAATAAGTTATATTCTTTTGTATAGGCCTAAATCAAGAATTTGCAATTAAAAGCATATTCAAATAATTTCAGTGACTTGTTTGTATTTGGATTATTTTTTGTATCTTGTTTATATTTTTTCTAGATCTACTATTAAAACAGTTTGCAGAAGAAAGAGTAGAGCTAGTAGACAAAGTAAGTTGAAAATTGTGTAATTGATTAATACTACATTCTTGTAAGTTGCATAAAAAGTTCCATTAATTCTATTTATTTTAGAAGATTGTCCTTCCTTCTACAGGAGGACTGTTCTTAAAAAACAGAAGGTTTATTATGTTTTTTCTGAATGAAAGTATTCTTTTGTGTGACCTAATATTTCTTTGTTACTCCAGACACATTAATGCTACTACTCTGTAGGTGACTGTATTATTAAAAAAAAACTGTGGAATTTATCTGCTTGTATTAAATTATTGTTAGTTATTTCTTCAGTATATTTCAGTTCCCATAAAAAAAGGACACTCGTGTCAGCTTTTCAGTGATAAAAAGTTTTTGTTCTTCAAGTTTTATAGTTTTGCACTTTTAATATATTATTGAATGTACGCTTTAGCTACCCTATTTAACTATAAAAATAAAATAAGTACATGAAGTTATTGAACTATATACAAACAATTTCAATTAGAACTTAAATCACTTTTAGCAATTGTGAACAGTTGTGGTATAGTTTTTAGTAAATTGTATTGTGAAAAAGAAATCTAGGCTTTAGGATCCTCCTTCCACGAGAATAGTGCTTGTAAATTAACTGTTTTTCTTATTGGTTAATTCTATATTTGCATAATGCTATATGTTTCATGCTAAAAAAAATTCATCAAATTTAGTTTTAATGGGATTTAAAAACAAGTTTCCTAATTTCATCACCAACCATTTTTTCTGTAGTTCATAACTTGTGGTAGAGAAAACACTTTCAAAATATTTAATGATTGTGTGTGTGTGTATTATATATTAAACAGCTGGTCTGCTGTATAAAATTAAATAATTAATTAGGCAAAGTGGCATAATATTATTCACATACCTCAGTTCATTCAGGTTGCTATATGGTGAGGTAAAAGGGACTTGTAAACCCCATAAATGTTATTAGTATTTGTATACTGATCTCCAATCATCAAAACATATGATACTTTATCAGCCTTTATTTGTTTCAATAGAAACTCTCCATCTATGTTTGTATCACATCTATTTTATTACTTGTATCTAACCATATGTTTTAATTCCATCACTAAAATTTGTGACATGATGTAGTGTAGTTTTAATTAGTCGTGTCAGGCAGAACATTATCCAACATGACCCATCTGAACTCATAGTTGTTTGTTTATTTTAATGTCACTTTGTGAAGGTTTTTGCACATCTTTCCAGCATCAAGCTGACAAAGGTGTAATTTTCTGGTGATATGTATGTAGTCATGTATAATTTACATCTGTCCTCAACAGCTTATGAGGCAGGCGATAGCACTGCCTATGTAAGGATGGCTTGGATTGTTCATCGAAATGGTATTTTAAATATCTTTTCAGTAGGTTATCAGAACTTGACTATACAGTGTTACCTTTCATAACAATATCTAGTTTAAGTTGTGATATCTGACACTTTCTTTTCCCAGTCTCAACAAATTAGCATTTAATATAATCTAACAACAGCTCTTTCTGCTCACTTGATATTTTATTAAGGTGTACTATAAAGTGTTCATATCTTTAAATGGTATCGTACATAGTAATTAATCCATGAACAAGTTTAAAAAATGTTTTATCTATCTGTTTTTCACATTAGTTAACCACTATTATCATTCAAATTACCAGATTTCTTTAACTGCTATTTCTTATTAGATACATAGGTTGAAACTTGATTTGGAAGAAGAAAAGCAAAAAACAGCCAAGTTGGAGCAGTTAACATTAGTACATGATCCACAATCCAACGGTCCTGAAACAAACCTTCTAGAGGTTCAAAGTAAGTAATTTCCTCTTGTCTTTAAAAATGAATAAGAGATACTGACCATACATTGGACTAGTTTTAATATAGCAGTTATTGTAATCTAAACTAAACCTGGATATTAAACTTGTAATATTTCTTTGAAATATCAAAATGCAGAATACTTTTAAGCATAACTGCTCAGTTTGCTATAGTTCACTTCTTTAATTTGCTAATAATATGTGAAAAGTTTCGTGTTATGTAATATACTATAAGAACAAATGTATTTTGTTTTAATTTGGATGGCTGAAAAAACTTCACATTTACTGTAATATAACAAATACAGTTTGGAGTAATGATTGGCAGTACAATTAACAATCTATTATAAAAATTAAAATTATTCTGAATTTAAATGTTTCAAAGTATCAAATGTGTAAGGTTTTTTTAAGCCACCCTATCTATATATTAGATATTTCATAGGTAGCATTCAGGCATGTAGCAAAGTTCTTTAACACACCATAAGGACTAAATAATCATTAGATAAACACATATGTATGTAAGAAAAAAAGTCTTCTACTAAGAACCATTTTGTTTTGTTTATCAGATGAGTGTTAAAATGATGACAGTTAGTAGACTGCAATTGCCCCTGCTACTTAAATAGCAAACTATGATGCACAAAATTTTTTATGATTATAAATATTTCACTAATCTAGTTTATATAGTAAATAAAGTTTCAAAGGTAACTCCATTCTTTTTTTATTTTATGTACATATAGTATAGTACATCATGATAATAATTTATATTTGCTTTTAGCTAATATACTAATCAACAAAGTACTTTATATTAAAATAAAATGAATTATGTATTGTTTTGAAGTATAATGATTTATTTTATTTATCAGTCCAAGAAAACTAAAAAATGTGATGTGGCTGTGTCTGAACCTTGGACCTCTTACCTGGTCATTTTTTAAATATAAAGTTTGAACCATAATAACAATTTTGTTTTTCTTTTGTTGTTATATAAATACAAACCTTACCTCTCTTTGTGGACTGTGAGAAATGTCTTTACATTTGTTTATTTTGCAGCGTCTAAAAAAGATATATAAACTTATAAGCTAAATGAAGAAGTGGTTGTAACAGTGATTGAACTGATTTGCCAACTTAACTCTGAAACTATGACTGTTTTCATACTGTTCACTACCAGTGGAATCCATATGTTGCATAATATGAGTAATTTTATGATTTTGCCTGTTACAACATTCAGTGTCAAGAACAATAAAAATAATTGGAAGCAATCAGTCATTTTATTTGTAAATTACACAAAATACTCGAACAGTAATTAGTAGAATTAATTTCAGTTATAATGATTTTTGTGTGTGTGTGTGTGTGACTTGTAGGCTACTAAGGGCCTTGTAACCAACAAAGTCATAAACCTATGAATAATTTAGTGCATAAATAGTTAAGAAAAATGTATTTAAGAAGTCAATACAATCCACATAGACTCCATCATTAATTCTAATTTAATGTTTTTTAATCGAAATGTTTAAAATTTGAGCTTATTTGTTGCTAAAACACATTTCACAAACTTACAGTTTGATCACATCAAGAATAAGGTTGTACATTCATAATGATGCAGTTTTTGATTATTTTTTTTTCTTGTTCTATTTCTTTCTAAACTATAAGCAACTAATACAACCCAGAAAGATGGCTGGGTGCTAGTATATGATATAACATAATCTGTCTTATTAAAAGTTAATGAAAATAATAAATAATTAGCTTATGGTCCTATGGATGATTGATGAACTTCTTATCATGAATTATTCTGCATGTTCTCAGTAAAAATTTAAATGATACAATATTTTAAAAACTTAAATGAAAAGATTAAATAATTATTTATTATTTATATTAAGATTGTTTAAAATTTATTATATCTTTAGGAAGTTTAATTGAATGTCCTGATATTTTCCTATTGATTTTGATAATATTAGGATTTTGAATCTGCTTGAAAATAAAGTTATCAATGAAAAATTACCCTAATTTATTTTAGTAGAATTTAAACAATTACTCTGTACTTTTTGTTAAAGAAATTTGTGTTTTTTTAGCTAGACATGTTGGACCTTAAAGCTGCTTGAGCAACATACATTTAATAAAACCATCTTTTTCTTGACCAGGAGAAGTAAATAAACAAGTCAGTGACTATAAATTTAAACTGAAAAAAGCAGAGCAGGAAAATTCAACATTACAAAGTAGTGTAAGTATATATTTGCTTCATTTTAAATTATACACAATCCTAATACTTCAGTGACAATACTCACTTCTGTTCTACATGCACATCTGTTAATGAAATATTGTTAATGTTACTTTTATTCAAATAGAATTGGTTGTAGAAAATACTTCAATGCAAAATGCATAAACTGTTTTGCTCTTTTAAATTGAATTTCGCTTATTATAGTAAGTATGCTAATAACCAAACCTAAACCATAATTTGTGAATGGAACAAAATGAGCACGTGTGTCTCAGAAAAATATCATGAAAGGAAATAATAAGATTTTTGACAAGATTTTAACATTATAAAAATAAGGTACTTCAAGTTAATTAAATTACCTTTAACCTCCCTCCCACAAAAAAGAGTGGGTTATTGTTGCTTGACTTGCAGAAAAAAGTGGGTGCTATTCTGTAATCTTTGGAATGATGGTTTTTATGGAAGATTATCTTTTACATTCTGTAATGAGAGTTTCATTACAAACAGTTTATAGTTATTTCAGGATTAAAAGTAGAAGAGGTGTGCCAATCGAGAGTCTGTGATTTTTGTTAAATAATGATTTTAGGGAATATTATCTTTTACATTCCATTGCTTTTTAAATATTGAAAGTTTCATTATAAAATATTTATAGTAATTTCAGGATTAAAAGTAGAAGAGGTGGCATTCAGTATTTTAAGGTATATTATTGCTGATTTTTATTTTAAGTTATGGCAAACTTTTGTTTGTTTTAATCTCCTAACAGGTATCTCGTTTGGAAAGCCAAGTTATAAGGTACAAGACAGAAGCAGAAAATGCTGAAAAATTAGAGGATGAACTAAAAGCTGAAAAGAGAAAACTTCAAAGAGAAGTAAGTGTCATATTCACTTGTTTGAAGAACAAACTTTTCATACTTTGTGGAGAAAAGGTTAAACCTCATATGATTGTACACACTTTAGTAGTGAAATACCCATAGATATAAAAGGAAAAAGGAAACGATATTAGACTTGCACTATAACTGGAAAATTTCTGAATGAAAATAATTGACATTTTTAATATAAAATACATAAGGTAGTTGGACAAAAAATTAGAAACAAATGCTTAAAGATTTGCTAATTCTTCCCCAGATTCTTCTGTTAATGGACCAGATCATTAGCTAACTGATTAGTTGACCTCTTGGACAGGTGATTATTTAAACATCTTTAAGCTCTAATTTCATGTTAGTTGTTAAGCATCATGTGATAGAAATGTGACTTTCCAAAGAGGATAGATTGCAGGAGACCAAGTAGTATGTGCTTTACTGACACAAATTTCTTGGCTTTGCAAGGGGAACTGTATTAATGATCATAACAGCATAGCAGTTATCCCATAAAGTCTCATCATGTAAATATAACAGTGGCCAGAAAAGAATAGTGATAGGGTCAAAGAGGATTTTGGGTTGTATTTACAGAAATGTTTAATATAAGTCTAAATAGGTTATCATTTCATTGTATAGGTCACTAGTTAGGCCTCTTTTGGAGTATTGTCTTCAGTCTTGGTCTCCTTACCTTGAAAAGGACATTGAGTTGTTATAAAGGGTTCAAAGGAGGGCTACTAGGATGACACCTTGGATGGAAAGGATGTCATACTAGGACAGTTTAAGGTCTGGGAAATCGTTTTTTTGTTGAAAATAGAGTTAGAGGGGATCTAATTAAGGTATTCAAGACTATTACAGTAATTGGATAGTATAAATGCATCATATTTTTTTTTATATTAATAGTAAGAATGGTAGGACAAGGGGAGACAAATGTAAATTTTGGTAAAGTAGGCATCATCTTCAGCTTAAACAGTGTAACTTTTTAATAGGATGGTTGGCCTTTGGAGTGGGTTGCTTCCAGATGTGATGGATGTAGTAAGTTTAAGGAATTCTCAATACATATTTAAATGATCAGGGCTTAAGTTATTAGTTGTTGTTTTCTAAATGGATGGGAGTCCCTTGTTGTCCTAGACTGTTATGATGAGTGGACTAGACTGCCATTGCTTTACCTCAAATTTTTTCCTCAAGGAGTGGAACCTGATTCCTCAACATACATTTCAGGAACTTGCAGATGTCCTATCCAAAGTTGAATCAGTTCTATCAGCCAGAAGTGGAATCACACTGTATTAGTCTATTTACTCTGAAAGTTTGTAAAATTTTCTCCAAATCCTGTATATACAAATGATTTGTTGTTGTTTTTTTCATGACAACTTAAATACTATCATACATCTGTTATTTGGCTACTTAATAATATCAATTAAGTATAGAAGGATTGTTTGATATAACAAAATTTAAGTCACAATGAAAAAAACTTCAATAAGTTTTCACTTGAAAGTAGTTTTTATATTGATATTCAGACTTCCTTTGTAAGCTTTAGAAAGTTTTGTTTGTTTACTCACATTGTAGTTTTTCTTTTGTAAAAACAAATAATATTGTCAAAACTAAAAACGATATGCACAGGGCTGGATTACCCAGTGCTTTTAGAGTTTGTGAATCCCCTTTATGCATATTCAGTTTCTTCCTTTAACCCTTTTCACACGAGTCAAAAGCCATGTGATTGTATTTGTTGACTAGCATTCAAAATTTTATTGAACTAGTATTTTATGAATTTATGTCAATAATTTTGGTATCAAACTGTAGATTATCATTCAAATTTTAGTATTATACATTATTTAATTTTTTAATTTAAAAGTATATATTAAATAAACAAACCTAAACATTGGTTTTTGTGTGTCATGTAGTATGGTGAATGCAGCACTGGTTCAAATTAGATGTTTGTGATGTCAAAATACAGTCTATAGTATGTACGAATTAGGAACTCAAATTAACCGATATGAACAAACTAAAATATAAAATAAGAACCTTCTATCTTTTCTATATGCTGAGATATCACTCACATAATAAATAAAACGCAGTGGCACCCTGCTCACCTCTTTCCATTTTACACTTACTTCTATCTATGACATATGAATAACCAATCAAAAGTTCAGAATGTCTCCATAGTGGCTTTCACAGTCATTTTCAAGTATTACAACGTCATCTCGTTCTTTCAATACAAGTCTTCAAGCTAGTAAAGTGAGTCTTTAATCTACTCAAAATTTTATATTTTTTTAGACCCATATACAGCTTAATTACTAAGCTTGATAAATTATAGTGGAATTTTATGGTATTGATATAGTAATTTATGATTTTTTGGTTATTCAACTGTATATATATAAAACCTAAAACTTTTTTATTTCATATCCTCTGTGTGCAAAATTTTAAAAGGCTTAGCACCCTATGTCAAGTAGCAACCAAGTACAAAGGTTGTAACTAGAAAACAATTGTTTCCTTTACTTCTCTACTTACTGTTCTATGTTCTAAGAAAATAAGTTTAAGAACTTATTCGTAAATAGTAATAATCTATATATATATATATATATATTGTATAAAAACTGAAATGTGACTGTATTTTACAAAATACTAGTAGAGTCTACTAAAACACAGCCAATACAGGTCACTTTGTAAAGACTAAAGGTTAGTTTTATCTTATTGGATACAGTAACATGAGTGCACATGTGCCATGTCATTGCAACTTCTATACTGTTAGCCAAGCACAGCTGAAAGGTCAATATAATAAAAACAAGTATATATAAATGTATAATGTTATGAGATTTAAGCTATTCAGTCTAAACATTCATGTTTTCGTGTTATAGTTTGTTGTTATTCTAGAATAAAAAGCCATAATTTATATTTATTTCCTGTTTTTTATTTTGGATATGAGATTGGTCAAATCTACCGAACCCGTACAGAGATTCGTTAGTGAAAATAACAGATAAAATATAAAGTTTTGTTTTCTTAAGAAACATTTGACAACTATCTCGACATTATAAAGATTTCACATGTGAAATTTGAAAATTCTGATTCATAAAAGTATTTTTTATCTTAAAATTAAAATTTCTTTGCATATGGGATAAGCAACATGGAAAAAGAAAAAAAAAAGGCATGAGAAAAATATTGCTTAACAAACCTTAAGACTTTCTTTAACATACGCTAATATAAAAGTTATGACACGAAAACTATAACAAGCACAAACTGGTTACGAGGTCAGTTCCAGGGACCAAGCCAGTGCTGAAAGAGTTAATAAGAAATCTAAAATGGCATCCCCTCCTTGGCTTTCTGATCATTTGGTATAGAAGAATCTGTTCAAGAAGTCTCTCATCATTTGACTCCACACAATCCACTCACAGTGCCCATAATTATGACTTCTCACTGACTGACCTGGGGGTCTATACTAACTGTCAGTTAAAACTTTGTCCTTGAAACCCCTGGCTCTAACCAACACAGACTCAACCTCTTGACTACCATTTTTTGCCTTCAATCCTGACAGACCAACCCACTCACCCCTCTATTAAAGTTTCACTATTATACCAGTTATAATATGGAATTTCAAAATAATTCCTATTATCAGTGTTCTCTTAATCTAGCCAAGTTTGACCAACAGTTATTGTATCCTAGTTTTCTGCTTCAAATAGAGCTCTGAAGTCATTCATATTGTTTCTAATACTCCTAACATTAGAATTACTATTATGATTATTCTGGAATCTACCATGTTTACCTTTTAAAATTATTTAACCTGTTATGCTTTACAACTCACCAATAAGTAAGCTTAAGTTTACCTATTTTTAATGAATATATATATATATACATATATTTTATCCCTACACCTATTCTCAGGCAATACTAAATAAAAGGGTTACATAATGGTCTTCGGTAACAGAAACTAAGCTGTTAATATGACTGGTGAAAACCTACAATAACTGGAACAAATTAGTTTCGCGAAGAGGACACACAAATGTCTCAAAAATAGTTTCTCCAATATCACGACTTCTAACAGTTTATTCCATTTACTGATGTTTTCCACTAAATGCTACATACAATATAATTTTACTTCATTGCTCTATGATGTCCCTTTAGAACTTGTAAAGTAATTCCTAGAATCAACAGAATAACATTTAAAAACGTTTTCATTTGAACTTTTCTTCAGAGTAAGGGTTTTACCTGCAAAGGCGGTCCCATCTGTCAAAAACTCTAGGGTTTAAACAAGATTTCTGAATAGGATTAGTAAAAACAGTAACTTGATTACAGACTCAGCCAACAAACACTTAACTGAACTATTGATGTTTGTGTTATAAGAACTTGAATGTCTCTATGCACACATTTTGAACAGTAATCAGATGACATTAAAGTTTAAGATTTGGAAAAGACAGGCTAGGCTCCAATTAAGACAGTTTTATGTTTCTTATAGGGTTATTGGCTTATGTAATAAATTTTTGTCAGATGTAGTGGAGGCTTAAAAGTGGGGAATAAGTTTCCTAAAGAGTAAAGGGTGAGTTTAAATGGTTACCCGAGGGTGGATGTATAAAGACAGTCTTAAAAGACAAAATGCTCCTTGTTGTACATATTTTTTACTAACAAGATATTGAAATGAATTACAATAAAAGATCTTGACATCAGCATATTTACATATCAACTATGCTACCATAAGTTTTCACAAGTATTTTGTTATTCATCAAAATATTGTCTTAACAGCACTCAATAACAGCAGATAAAATGTTACCTTTCTCTGGTTCACTTTTAACTTCATTTTCCTTAGGTTCTAGATTAATCTTCTTTTTAAGTTCTTCCTAAAAAAAAAGTTCATAAATTGTAGCTGTACAAACAGAAATTTAAAACTCAATTACTAGGCCTAAAATTTGTGATAAAAATCATGTTAAATTTAGCTTTTTTTCACTTTCCCTTCATTTTTTTAACTTGAGTATTCAAAATCAGAAGTGTGTAAAAAACATTTCAGATTTATCCTTCACCTCCCACAA